TTTAAATAATCCTCACCTGGCTGTATCGTTCGAAGAGCCAAATTTCCTGTGTGTTCTCCACATTATGCTCAAAACACGTATGTACAGCACGCGACCATCGTGTTCATCAGCAGAACATTGGCGATCAGCATGAAGACGGTCATAAAGAGTGGTGCAACAAAGTATCCAGGAACACATCCCTCGCCTGAAAAAAAGAACTAAGCTTGTGCAGCCTGCAGATGCTGAGGGGTGCCAGGAGGCTGGGTTTGCAACGCCAGCCCGTTTTCCACCAACTGTGGGACACGTGCCCGCTTAGGCTATTGATGGAGAACAAGTTGAGGCGTGGTCGACGCCAGCTTTATAGCTTTCCCTGGCACTCCCCAGGATCCTCAGTCATCAGGGCTGTTACTGACCGTTCTTGTGAGGCGCTCATAATCTTGGAGGGGTGAACTGAAGGACTCCCTAGGCAAAATAAGGATTACCTCTACGAAGATGAGTGCTTTTTGACTGACAATGGGCATGAAGGAAGGAAGGAACTCTCGGAGCTGCGTGAACTAACTTCACGTGCGGCAATTCTATATGCAAAGGATGATTCCAGCTTGCCCGGAACGCCTCGTCAAGCTTACAGCGCCTCTTGTAATTTGGGATGGAATTTGGAAGTAGAGCCCGTTCATCTTTAGCTTTTTAGGCTATGATGGCTTCTTAGGCTACAACGAAGATGAAAAGGCGGAAACCTTAGGGTGTGGGAGAGTACATTCACATTGTAGTCAAAGTGGAAATATGACCCCACGCTGAGACAGCTAGACCTTGGTGCATTGTGCACGCGTCATTTCGACCAAAAGCGAAGAGAGAGTTGACAAAGACCTAAAGAATGTAAACTTGAAGAAGAACATAGAATGTTTGGGTGAATGCCAAGAGAATAACATCCTTCCAACCGAAACTCATTGCAAACGCTGTTTACTACCTCAAAAGTAGCAGAGTTGGACTACTCTGGCTCAGTGTCCTTTGGCATGCGGATACAGCTATAAAATCTTGAGTCTAGAACTAAAGTCTTTTGGGAGGCCGCCAAAAACTTCACAATAGAGTCGCAATGACGGGGTGGCGCCAGAAGTCATCGAATGAGCTTACCCGCGGCTTTTCCTACCACCATTCACTATTAATAGAAACGCGGTCAGGCAGGAGCTCATTCCACTTCTTCTGACAACGCCCCGACTCATTGCGACGATATCGACTATAGCTGAGATGCAGTAGCAGTGGCTGCTGGATTCCATGTGATCATGTGATTCAACAGCACATATGGACTTGTGAATTGCAAATGCCCAAGACTCAGCCATACTGACTAAGAAATTGTAATTATCATACCAGCAGAAAAATTATCTTGAAAGGAAACGCTCAAAAAATTCGTTTTATAAGACAGCTCTATTATGATCAAAAATTTCGAATATTTTGAAATTTTCCAAGAACTCACCCGTGATGTTGAGCAAACCAGACGCAATCGGCACTCCTTCATCTATATGGGCATCCCATACTGAAACGAATTATATCTTAAATAAACCTAGCAATTGAAAAATTCACAAGCGGACTTATTAGTGAGAGGTTCCTTTTGAGAAAAAACCGCCATCGTACGAAAGACGACTCACTCTCGTCTCCACAGACGTCGATCTCTGGCGCATAGACTTCACCATACAACATGAAGTACGGTTTGTAGAAGATGTTCCGGAGTAGAAGCCAATGCCAGTTCTCATAGGGATAAGTGATTGCTTCACGGACCAGGCCGAATGCCAACAGTGAAACGAACAACATCGCGAGAATCGGCAACATTCGAGGAATCTAAGAGGATGACAAAATACTCTAGAATTCGGTACAGCTCTTTTACACGGCCACTTTAGCTTCACAAGGGGGTCTGTACAGGCTTAGCCGAGTACCATTTGGTGCTCCACCGAGCCAAACTGCGCCTGTCTTCTTTCAATCTACGCTAATCACTCACCATTTCCGCAGCCATGGTTATATATGGTCCAAGTTGTCGGAAAACTCGCATGTAATCCAATAGCTTGAACGACCATAACACTGAGTTACAGACTAAAAATACCCGGCCTGCCATTCTGAAAATTAAAGGACCCATATAAAATGCCTGGGATTGTAAATAATCTCATTAAATTCAAATAAATAAAATGTTCTGAAAAATAGAAAGAAATAGAAAAGAAAGATTTAATAAAAGTCTCTATTGTAGATAAGGTTACCTTGTCGAAGGGTTGCATCGGAATACAAAATGCTATTACATAGGTCACCGTGGCAAAAAGCAGCACACCATTCCGGTAGGTACCAAAGTAAAGCAGAACTTTCCGCCACATTTGTTGCTTTCGATCAATCATTACTATCATTACCAACTGAAGTATCCAGGATTTGATGAGGGATAAATAAGTGGCTAACTTAGTCACTTGAGTAACATTCGGCATAGTCTTGTTCGCAGCGGATGCTGGGGCGTGTCAGGGCTGGTTTTGGCGCTCCGCCAGAACGTTCTCCACCAGTTGTTGAAGCATGTAAGCGACAATAATCGGTGAAAGACGACTTATAAGAACGATATTATGCGGTCTTTTTGCTTTCTGAAAAAAAGAAAAAACAGCTGGCGCCACGCCAAGTCCATCCTCTGACTCATCTTATCATCTGCAGCGAACAAGACTGATGTTCCACGTCAACGAGTCATGAGAAACTGTAGAAGTACTCAAAAAGGGGATCGAGTGGAGCTATAGTGAGGATGGAGTTAAGAGTCTCAATGATGTGAAGCAAGCTTGGAACAAAACATACGCGGGCTGGCGCCGCGTCAGTAGGTTATGAAATTGAAAAGTGGTAGTTCACCTTTCGTAGCAGTTCCAGCAACCATACAACTACATAAGCAAGCAGATACCATTCTACCCATGACGGATACCTTAAGTGTGAACATGAAGCTCTGCTAAATCTACAGCGTAACAAAGCTATCTCTTCCAACTTACCTCGGTGTTTTTATCAAGATTGTATATGAAAGAGCGATTAGAAATACATAGAAACTGAGGGACCACAGCCAGAACGTCGTGATTGGCGCCGAGTAGAATTCACGGAGTTTACGTCGCCATGAGATTGACCGTTGCTAAACATATCTGTTCCAAGAGCTAAGAAACATCACAAATAAAAAAAAAAAAACCCTAGGGGATACAAATATTGAGTGTGGGAGTAGTGGGAGCCGTCAGTCTGTTCTTGTCCTCTTTTCTCATGAAAATCTCGAAAGGGGTACACACTTCACCCTTTTATTTGGTGAGAGAGTGCGAAGAAGAAGAAATGAAATGGCACGATAGCGCCGTATCCCTCCTTTCATCACGAATTTCGTTCCCAAACGTATTAGAGAGAAAACTGAGCGCCAGTACTATCAGGAATGCCACTCGGCCGTGGCTCTGTGTATTTCTCCAAACTAATGTTTAGGCTTGATGCAGGCTACTTATTCTCTGCGAAGCTATTTTTCGGACGACGGTAGTCTGGGCTCTCAGGCCAAGCTCTGGTTAGGGTAAGAGCCATATAAACCAGTTTGAGTGGCGTCCTCAGCTACTCTCGTAATCTCTCATGCGGATAGGCATGGTTGTATTACTTGAATTAAGTGTGCAGCGGCCAAAGTTTTCGTGAGATATTTTCATGCTAAGACAGTTGTCATCATGTCTTTGTCCAACACAGAACGAGACGACAGTTGTCTTAACTAGAAATATGCCTCGAAAACCCATCCTACGCCATGTTCAAATGCCACGCCCATTCCGTCTATGGGGTAAGAAGTGTATGCTGGCGCCGAAAACTCTTGAACGGCAGCAGGAGGTGGTTACTACTGTTATGTAATAGTGGATTAGTCTTACCCCCGTTCGGACAGTATCTCGAGTTTTGACGAAGGTGTCGAAGCGCTGTTTAGGCTGATTGTCCTTCTCGTCATCATCCGCATGCGGATGGCTGAGGTAGAGGCTCGAGTGCTTCTTCGATGAACGACGACGAGATTTCCCTGCAAATACGGAGTGAAAGGTCTGATAGATCGAAGGTAATGGGGAGTAAATTGGCGCCAGCGCAGAGGTATCCCGAAAATTGAGAGCGGGGCCCATAAGTTTCCAAAAAAAGCGAGGTTTCGCATATAAGATCCTCAGTGACACAATGAAATATGCCCCAACAGTGCCGATATGCACACATACCCCAAAATGACCGAAAGAAGGGCGGTATCGGAGGGTAAAAAGGCACCCTGGCACAGGCCAGGTATTCCTGTGCCGCCTCTCCGCTCCTATACATATGTCTCTCCCAATACTTTGTCTGAACTCCCGCAACCAGCACTACGTTACTTGGGAACGCCTCGTTTCGCCCTCGGATGTGGACTTTATGTCTCGCGACGACTGCAATGCTGATGACACTGTCACTTTTACTCTGATTTTATTCCATTGTTTTTCAGTGGTACTAACCAACAGATACAAATTGCAGTGTTTTCACACTTCTGCGAAATTCACTCACCTCGATTCTTGTCGCTGCTGTCGTCGCTGTCACCGTCCTTTTTAGATTTTCGCTTCTTCGCGGTTATTGACATCGTCCTCGCTCGAGAGCCTAAAAATAGTGAATATCAAAACAGTAGTTTTCTCAGATTTTTCGCTTTAGACTCTACAGGGTGAGTGCAAGGCATGGCTCAATTTCTGAATCGTGTGCTACACCACAATGCTCAAGCAGTTTTTGGAAAAGCTGCTAAAGCAGGGCGCATTTGGGTTTGTCGACGGGGGGGGGCATTTTGTACTATCACTGCTTCCCTAGTTCCGGTTTACAAATCTCACTCTGGTAAAACTTGTGAACACTTGTGAAGCTGGAGCAAGATCGGTCCAGGCACATATACCAAAGAGCGTGTTCAACTCGAGAAAAGCTTCAGATGGGTCGACCCATCTATGAATGCCAAAAGCCCCCGTCGACAAACTGCGCCTGCCAGTTTTTGGAAGAAGGCTGAAGTTGACAAATCGTCGCCAAAATATCCGCAAGTTCCAAAAACGCGGAGTTCAGGCTTGCTGCCTTCGAACAATCGGAAAGTTCTATCACGGTGGAACACAACCCTTTCCCCCGGCCAAATATGACCCCCGCTGTAGGTTCCACAATTAATGATGTGCCCTGATTCAAACCAACTTGAAGGTAGAAAGCGAACTCACGTTGCACCTGCGGTGTGATAATGATGCCGTTCCCGTTCGGTGTTCCGTGATCTTTTCGGAAGGAAAATCGTAGCTTATCACGCATCAGCTGAAATCTGCCTTTGACATTTCGGGCTTCTGTTATAACCGAAATTGAAAGAGTCAATTGTACTGGCGCATCTCAAAGAATATCAAGCAACGGACGAACGCTTTATTTTTCAGGCTTTACGCCCTGTGTTTTCCCTATGTGGATCAACCTCGTAGCATTGAGAAACGCAACGAAGCAGCTTGACCTTGAAGAAGAAGCTGGACCATTCTTCAGGTCTATTATTGTAACTGAGTAAGAGCCGAGGAGCGTTTTGTTGTCTTGTCAAAAGCTGGACTATCTCATTGTCAGACATCGCAGAACACGCTATTAATGTGGTATGACGTCTTTGACAAGCAAGCAATGTCCAGCCTCGACCGCTGTGGATGCTAGGACTTGGAACGGGGGGGGAGGGCGGGCTGACGCAATCCAACCCAATTTCCACCAAAACTGTTGACGGTCGCCATCAACAATGTGGTGTAGAAGAGGAAACCCGCGCCATGGCCAGCTCTGACATGCCCGTGGCTAAATTAACGAGCAGGACTATGGGAATAGCCTTGCCGACTCTTTCGAGTCATTCCCAAAAATTGACAGGGAGGACCAGGCTCTGGGCGGACAGCCCGGCAACCAACGCCATTGGTCATGGACATAGCCAAAGAGACGGGGCCCCGGCTCTCAGGAATGCACGTGGCCAAGACGTTGGCCCTCGACCCGAGAACGCGACGTTGCCTACCCTTCCATCGCGGGTACGTGTACTTCAGTTAGTTCACCTGTCCCGTCCCTGCGGGACGAGAGCGCCATCTGCCTTAGCGATTGCTACACTGCCCGTCTGCCTGCTTCGTAGAGAACGCCACTCTTTTCGATTGTAATCTGTAGCGGAGAGGGTTGCAGGGTTTAACAAAGGACTTTTTACATAAGCGCAGCGTCACAGTGAATGACTCATTCCTGCGGAGAGCTTCCATTGACTGAAGCAGAGCAACGGCGTTGAGAGACAAAGACCCCTTCACGGAGTGCTGTCCTATTTTCATTTCTGTGCTAAACGTAAAGTTCCTCCTAGCTAGCCGCAATAATCTTCAGTGTAGGAGACACAAACTCTATTTAGAAAGATTCAGCGTCCTACCAGAGAGAAGACCTTATTTAAGAGCTGATCAGGTGACTGAACATTTCTGGGCTGAAATGTTTGGGGGGAATTACGCAGGACACATTTCCCATGATACAAATTAGCTGAAGATCATGGAAAGAACATGTTCTGGCTGTAGCCTTTTGTTTGATGTATATTTCTGCACTATATTGTTTTCTGGCCGATTCATAATTTTACATGCGAATCCAATGCCGGGCCGAAGTAGACGGCTTTTCTCTGAGCGTAGTCTGAGTTACCCTCCACAGAACCTCCCAAGCCATCTAGGCTGCAAGTTTACTCCCAACTTGGAGCAGCTAAGGAACGAGAACTGGGGAAGAAAAAGAGAATACCCATATGGTGGGATCTAGTCCTCACCACGAGTGACCACTAGCACTACAAGGAATTAGACTACAGGACAGCCGAAGGACTGGGGAAACATGGAAAACTTTCGGCACGAAAAATATCTGGGCACGAAACACGTGGTAGCCTAAGCCCAAACAGATGAACGCTCCACCCATGGGTAAATACTGAATCCATTGATTTTCACCTTCTGGGTGGTGAGCATTTATTTTATGCAATAATGAAATAAACAACTAATTAAGCAAGTGAAAAAATTGATCAAGAAATGAACAAAAAAAAATAAATAACATAAAAACAAATAAAAAATAATTAAACTAAGAAATAGATGAATAAGTAATAATAGATGAATTACCTTAACAAATAATCAAAGCATACAAACAAACAAACAAATAAATAATAAGTAAAAAATAATAAATTAGTAAACGATTGGACAAATAAGCAAAAAATAAATGAACAAATAACTAAGTAAATAAACAAATAAATAAATAAAAATAAATGTTTAATAATTAAATAGACAAATGAACGAATTCGTTCGTAACGGGTTAAGCTGCCAGCAAGCCCCACTACTGTTGTCGTTTCTTTGCGTTCTGAACCAAGGACCAGGACTTTCATCTACCTAACGGAGAGAATGACCTTAAAACCTTGTGACAATGAAAAAGTCCCTGATTTTTATCCCTTTCAGAAAACTTACTTGCAGCGAATTGAATTGCTTAGGTCTGCGGCACACCCTCGAGTGTACTCAAATAAATAAATAAAAATAAATAAATGGATAAATGCTGTATGCATAGCTCAGGTCGTTTGGTGTGAATGAGAAATCTGCGCGTATGATTTGGAGCGGTGTCCAGTCCGGGTTGTCTAACAACACGTGCCAACTTTGCTACTTGTTAGTTTGCTGGGCTGCTTTGCCATCTCTTCCTTTCCCGCCTCTTGTCTGGAGTACCTGTTCGACTCTTCGAGTCTTCTACAACAAATTGCGCTGCAGGAGGCGGCGAAGCCTTGAACCCAATCAACGCAGCTCCTGGTTCCGAAGATCCTTAGAAAAATTAGAACATTGGAATCGAGCCAGACAGGCTCATACAACGATGTCATAACCGGTGACAACGATGCCGAATGGACCGAGACGTGGCCGGGTGATTGGGCCCGGCTCCCAGGAACACGAGAGCATAGGGTGCCCCAAGCCCCTTGCTCGCCGCCGTTCCCTGGAGGCTGAAGAGCTCGTATCATCGACTAACTGGGTGGTCGGGGAACAACGGCGCGCCGTAATTTCACAGGCGTTTTCAGCGTGAATTTCTCGTCGCTGGAGAGAGAGGCAGAAAATGCAGCAGTTGCACTTTCAATGCTGGGAATGGGGGATGCGACTGACTATTGAACGCCACGGGAAGTTCCACGTGCAAAATGCCGTTGTGGCGGAAAGATTCGGGAAATTGGGAAGATATTCCGTGCTGCTAACCCTAAAGTAAGCTTTCCTCACTAAGCACGTGCCGAACATTATTGTTTCTGCTTCCTTTCGCCCTCTGAAAAATAACCCCACTTCCGAAACACCTAGCGAAACGGGGCCGTGGGTAGGGAAGCGGTCTAGTTCAGATCCTACTTATGGTGCAGGTGCGAAGCATGTCGAATACAAGAAAAACTACTATATGGTGAGCTAAGATAACTGATAATTTTCGTCGCATTTGGAAACCATCGATTGCCGAGCAAAAAACGTGACCTCAGCTAGAACTTTAACTGATTTTCACAATAACTAGGCTCTATCAGTAACCACCGGCACCCTTTTAGTCTCTCAGAATGATGTTATTTGTTATAGTCATTCGCTACGATCTTGAGCGGAAGTAGAATGCACGGCGCATCCAACTAGGAAATACTGGAGGACAAAAGTTTTTCCTCCTGAGCCCAAATGTAGATTGCTTCACTTCGGTTACCAACCGAGACCGTTTATCAAATGCCATCAGTCTGAATGGCGAAGGCCTCGCCCTACACAGCCAAGGAGTCATTCGCCCAAATCAAAGGTATCAGCCCAGTACCCACTAGGCTTTTTCCCTTTTGGGACTCAATCAATACCATATCTGTCCAGGATATCTGTTCAGGTGTCTAGGTAAGACATTCGGTATGAAATCCAGCTCAGGAAGACACAGGTTCGATGAGTTGGGTGTTACGGTGGTCCATAATCTGGGTAATCCCAAATTTTAAAAGTTGAAAATCTTCTTCAGCCTACATATGACTGGCCTGTTTTCAGAATTGCGTACGCAAATAAAGACAATTCCACAGGCAGTCAAGCTCACCTGCTGAAAACTCAACGAAACTGGCTCCTTGTCACTGCCTGCTCGTTGTCGTGCCACTTTTTCGCTATGAGCCTCCTGCAACGAAAGCTTTTTTGTTTGGCACTGTAGGACTTCCCAACCCTGTCTTGGTCCTTCCGGCTCAACACAAGGTGCGAGAAGTTTTTTTTTCAATTGACAACGTTTGTCTGCCATTTTCAGCTCATTTCTGGCTCATTACTACCGGTTCTTATAAGAGAAACTGAACGATACAGAGATGAGTGGTTTCTCTAAGAGCTTCAAAAACGCCACGCGAGGTACATGAGGATTTTCTAGTCATTTTGACCTTGTAAGAGCGGTATTACCTCATCACTGGCGTTATTATTGTAAAAGTGGTGTTATTAAAAGTGGTATTATTTTGTACGACGCGAGGAGTTTTTAGGATATCTTCTAACCTCCTCTGTCTCACTTGAACTGCTATCGCTAAAGCTGGTATCGTCGCTGAGCGATGAATCGCTTTCAGAGTTCTCCTCAAGATGTTCGGCAAAGGTATGCGGTTGAAGCATCAGCTCTTCCTTGGTCTTGTACTCCATCATGAAAATCATAGCCGGCATTAGTAGAGAGCCAAGGACCTAAACAAGACTTCAGAAACCCACATACTAACAAAAACTGAGATAGTGGCTCAAGTAGTATGAGTATAATAGAGTTATAGTACGTTTATGCTTTGCGTCAGCTTTTTGAGCGCACGTCAGCGTTTTGAACATGTCGCGGCTAGTCCGCTGATTACGCTGGCGGACGCCTTAAAACGGCAGATCCATACCTACCTACATATTCTAACTGTTCAAAACGCTCACAACACTGGCTTACGCTCGAAACGCCCAAAACGGCGACGCAGAGTATGAACGATTTTTGAGTTCCCCTGACACCCCATCTTTTATTCCCAAATGGCCATATACTACTATTTCAAAGCAGTCTGTTGAAAGTTGAAAGGCAACTCAACTAGATACCTTGAGGTTAGCACTGTTCCTAATATGAAGTCCACCTTGCCACAAATCAGATAAGAGCAGTTGACAGCTGAAAAGTGACCAACAAATATAATAAAACTCTCAGAACAGAGCAAGTTCTGGCATTTGGGGAAACTTCTAACTCAATCCATATACATCTTACCCCTCCCTTCTCCCAAAATTTCTTCTTCGGTACAATCTCCCCCTATCCCCCTTCTGTCACACTCGACCGATCACCTCAAGAAGCTTTCTAAAAAAACTGGCGCCCGAGTGGGCACCTCC